AAGTCGCTTTGAACCACGATGTTGGTGGTTCAAGCTCACCAGCTGCTCCTTGGAAACCCTATACAGGGTTGCTGTGGGTCAGAACCGATTCAACGGCTCTGAACAACAGCAATAACAGGCTCTCAGGTGATGCTGATGTTGATACTGCAGGTCCATATCCACGCCATGAGAGCCACTGCTCTAGATGTGGCCAAGTTTGTGATGTGCCCTCCCCCTTCCCCCTCTCCCCAGGCTACCTCTTGTGCACTTAGGACTCCTCCCTGACTTGAGAGCCCAGGTCTGGGAGCCTCCACTCCCCTTCTCCATGGTGCCAGGTGATTGTGAGCTCCTCCCAATGCCCACCCGATGTCTAGGCTGGCACTGTGCCCCATGCTGTATTGCTGGGATGCATCCACCCCCGGACTCCTTTACTAGATTGAAATCTGATCAAGAATGTGTTTTGTCATCCCCATGCCTCACGGTGTGGAACATATGGGAGTTGCTCATTTGACAGACACTAGTTGAGTGCCATGGTTCATAATAAACCGGGGGTGGGGTTGGGTTGGGGTGCCAGGGACGTATAACTTGGTCACTGTTGCCTGCCTTTTCCTTTCCAGCCTTGGTAGCAGCTCTTTATGTAATGTAAGTTTATGTATCTTACATTTTAGACCTGGATTTCAACAGAAAATATTTTTTTTAAATCAACATAGTGATAATGAATCAAGCTGCTAACCTCAAGGTCAGCAGTTTGGAATTACCAGCTGTTCCTCGGGAGAAAGATAAGGCTTTATGCTCCCGTAAAGATTACAGCCTCGCAAACCCTATGCAGGGTCACTGTGAGTTGGAACCGACTCCACAGTTCATAACCACTGCCACCACCATTTAATGCTAAGTAGTTAGCCAACCCACACTTGTACATTGGTTTAGGAGCCAAATGAGTTGAGGCAGAAATATTCGTGTAATTCAAATCATTTTGTGTCCGTGATTCTTCAGAGAAAGGGGGATTGTAGACTGCCAACCCAAATCATTGCCACGATTGTCCTGATGGATGGGAGGACATAAGGATGATTGCACAAATGGCCATCGAGTCATTGCTTGCCGTTCTTTTTGGAACTAGGCATTGTAGCACCAGCAGCGTTGTCTGGGCTCGAGCTTGTTCTCACAAGCCAGAAAGCTCGCTGCCAACTGTGGCTTCCAGAAGAGATCAGTTTCTTTCCATTTACACAGGAACTAGCATCTTTTAGAAAAAATGGAATGCGGGATTTTTGGAGTAGTGTAGAATCAGTTTTAGATGTATTCACTTAGCAAAAATGTGCTGAGGGACTGCTGTGTGCAAGGTGCTGCTGTGGATATTAGTAATGGGCGGAGGGGAGAGGCTCCTTTGTTCCAATTCAGTTTCCAGTTCAGTTTCCAGGAGTTCTGTACCGATGTAAAAAGGAACCCTGGTGCCACAGTGGTTAAGCGCTGGTTGCTAACCTAAAGGGCAGTGGTTGAAACCCACCAGCTGCTCCGTCAGAGAAAGCTGTGGCAGTCTGCTTCTTAGAAACCCTAGAGTGGACAGTTCAGCTCTGTCTATACAGTTGCTAGGAGTTGGGTACTCTATCTGAACAAGTGGAAGCATGAAGGCCCTCTCAGTGATGGCCCTCTTCTCAGACATTGGCATATTGAACCATTTTTAAAAATGTTAAAGTGTTATATGGTGTGGCACTGTAGGATAAGCACTGGACTGCTAAACCACAAGGTCAGAGGTTCAAACTGCCGACCTTGTGATTCAAACTGACTGTGTAGTCTTGCACTTACCCTCCAGCACTATACCAAGACTCTAATTAACAACAATAAAACATTTTGAAAAGTAAGTTAAGATGGAATTTTAACAGAAAAAAAACTTTTTCTTTCAAAAAAATGTTAATACCAGGGTTCACTTAAAATTTGAATAATAATAGGAGATTCTCCTTGGTCAGAGTGCCTCCCTTTTTGTAAAGTGTGCACCTTGGGGATGTCTTCACTATGATTGCATAGTGTGCAAAGCCACCCAGTCCATCCAGCTCTCCTTTTGCTCTCGAGATAAGAGAGGTTCAAAAAGTATAAAGCTTGCTTGTTTTGATATTTGAACATAAAGCTGCATGCATCTAAAACCAACAGAGGTCTTGACTTGAAGTTACAGATGACAAGAGTCATTGGCTCATAGATGGAACAGATGTAATTAGTCACTTACCAAGATTGTGAAGAATACGAAGAGGAGGAAGTAGTAAAAAGTGTGGGGAAAAATCATTATATCCATACTTTGCTTACTGACATGGTTAGGTTCCAAAGACCAGATTGTTAGGTGAAAATGGAGGATGACTACATTATTACATAACTGCCAAATTTCATCATTATGTAACTGAGAATCATGGCCCAGCTAAGCTGACATATAACCTTAACGGCAAATCATAGTAAGCTTTATTCTTACCTCACACCCTGGTGTTTGTTACTGCCAGATGTACGTTGTTAATGAGCAAAATAGTAGAATAGTTGTTTGGTTGTTTTTGTTTTTGTTTTCTATTGTGAGAAGTGTCAGATCATAAGTCTGTAAGTGAGGAGTTAGGTATATCGGTAGGATGAAGGAAGGAAGGAAGCACTAGTGGTGTCATGGTACCTAGAATAAAGGGAATGTGCGGCAGCTGTAGAGCAGGGCTTCTCACACTTGCACTGTCCCCGGATCCCCTACTGAGCTGTTTAAAACACAGTTTGGTGTCCTTCCCAAGTTTTGGATGGATTCAGCAGATGCGCGTCAAGACTAGGTACTCTCAAGTGGACTCTAATTTATGGGGACCCCAAGTTTGCCAAAGTAAAACTGTTTTTGTTTTTAGATAATACAGTGTTTTCAATGATAATTGACACAGCAAATTAGTTTCCCGTTGGACAGTTTCTTATCCATTGTCATCAGTTACATTTTTCTTTCTTTTTTTTTAAACTTCTTGTGATTTGAGTGAAAGTTTACAGAGTAAATTTGGTTTCCATTCAGCAGTTCATATACATTTGGCTTTGTGGAATTTATTGCAATTGCCACAGGGTTATAGTACTCTTCCCAATTATGCCCTGTGCTGCTATTTCCATTCATCTTTCTTTCCTGCCATTCTTGCCTGCCTTCTGATTTCTAACAGGAGTCTATTGAATGTGGTCGGACTTAGTTCACAACTTCATTGCTGTTTTTCCCCCCACTTCCCTTTATCGATGACCAGCATGGTCAGCAGCAGGACCACATGCCTGCTAGTGTATTCCAGTTGAGTTTCAGTCTTGGAAGGGGGTTTGCCTTGAGGGGACCTGACCACTTGCCTTTATGGCTCCCTGGGAAACAACTTGCTTGTTCTTGTAGTAGTCAATTAGACTGCTGGGGTTTTTTTTTGTTTCTCTGGATTTGCTTTCAAGAAGTGTTTTCTGTTCATCTAGCTGTTCCAGACTGGTCTGCTTGTCCTTTCACGTGGGAATGTCCCACCTCAGAAGATTCTGGATGATGATCAGGTTTCCACCTATGGTCTTGTGCAATGCAAAGGCTCTGCAGGGAGCCTCCCTCACTGGGCAAGTTCTAGCCCCATTTTAGGTACTCTAATCAGTTATAAAGGAGCTCTGGTAGTGTAGTGGTTACTAATCGGGCTGCGAACCTCAGGGTCAGCAGTTCGAAACTACCAGCTGTTCTGCGGGAGAAAGATGAGGCTTTCTGTTCCTGTAAAGATTTAGAGCCTCAGAAACCATGTACAGGGTCGCTATAAGACAGAACCAACTCCACGGCATGTTAACAACCATCAGTTATAGGCTGAAGACGGACTTACAAGCTTTCTATGGTGATGTTTCTGGCTATTCCACTCTCTCCCTTTCAAGGGTCTATTTTACAATAGTAGGCAAGGGAAACCAAGATTCAAAAGACAGCCAAGCATCTTAACATCATTTCCCCCCTTTTACCCATTCACACCATGCCTCAATCTTTGTATCCACGAGCCCTGTTGTTCATGGTTGTGTTTATATCGTTATTTACCTCTGTCCTATTTAGCTCATGTAAACCTGCCTAGATGTTCTCCCATCTGCCTTGTTTTACCTTTCCCCTTCCCCTTCTAGTGTGTGTCCCCCTCCCAGAACCCTAACTATCCTGTGTCTATTCCCTACCCCTGTGCTCCACTATCCTGGGCCTATTCCCTACCCTTTGCTTCACCTTCTCCTCCTTCCCCTCACCCCA